AAAAAACAAAAAAAAAAAAAAAAAAAAAAAAAAAAAGGGGTATCTGACAACATACGAAGAAATGAACAGAGCAAAACTTAGCCAAGTGTAAAACGTAGGAGCTGACAGGCATTCAAAGTTTTATGTAAGTTTAATATAGATTAGTTTGTTTTCAGGCCATGAATTTTTTTCAGCTTTAGTACATGTGCTGCTTATTAACGAATCCAATCTATTAAACTTGGAGCACATAAAACTTTTCTCCTTTTCTTTCTGAATGAAAGCTCACTGAATTTAATCCACACTGATCTGCAGATTCATAGCTCGAATGTAAAAATATGATGAGAAAATTCTAAATGAATTTGCACTCCTGGATCTTAACCATGGTTTACTTGATATAATAGCTAATCTTCTTTGCCAGTTCTGCTGGATTTAGAATTTCCATGGAAACACAGTCTCGGATTGAGCCATGATAGTGATTTTGGAAAGGGGTAACTTAAGAGAGAAGACCTGTCTTGGATGTGTATAGAATGATCTGATGTGCTTGGGTCCTGGGCTGAATAAAAGGAGAAAGCCAGTGGAGAGGAGCCTTCTTCTTGCTCTGCATCCCAAATAAAGTCCAAGTGTGACCAGCTGCCTTGTGCTTCAGCTGACACATGGTGACCGTGTTTCCCTGAACTGTAAAAGAACCTCTCCTCTCCTGGGCTGCTTCTTGTTTGCAGTCAATGAGATATAATTTACAATGAATGGGTTCTATTATTTGGTGTACAGTAATTACCTTAGTACAGTGTTTTTGTTTTTGTTTTTCAAAACATTAACAAATCAGCTAACCAGAGAATAGTGGGGGATGGAGACTGTATGCATGAAAACTGACTGATATGCTTGACAAGTAACATTCACATTACTAGCCTCTGCAAACTGCACAATGACAGCCAACTATGAAAAAGAAATGATGCCGAGTCAGGGTCACAACTAAGGATGCAAGATAACCAGACTTGTACATGCAGTTTTGCTAAAATTAGAGATTCACAAAAGGGTACTGAAGTTCATTGTTTCTATTTTTATTTCTCCCTTGTTTCAGTAATTTTATTTAATGCTGATTCCAGTAGAATTTAGTTCCAATGAGGAAAACTTCTGAGGATTCCTGCCCCCTGCTTACATGGACTCCTATCACAGAATAATTCGTTTTTGTCAAGTGTTCCTAACAAGTTCATATCTATAACTATTACCTATCATCTATCTACCTTTTGTCTGCCCATCTTTGAATCTAACTACTTATTTTATCTCTACCTGGCTATCTAGATAATTATTACCACCCTTATGTATGTTATAATGTTAAAAAAAAGGCTATACCAAATGTTAAGATGTATTAGTCTAGAAAAATGCAGTGCAACAGTCAACCCACAGCTAATAAAATAGAATTTATGTTGAAAATATACCCATATGTCTATATGTATATAGTACCAAGTAATAACCAATCAAATAAATTTTAAATACTTAATATCTAGATTTTAGAATGCAAAATTAACATTGTCCTTCAAAGAATGTCTAGCAGTGTTTCAAGAGATAGTTCAACCAACCTACCCTAGTTATTTTATTGATGTGAAATTATTTCACATCAAAAACAAACTAAAGCTACTTTTCAGTCTAAATATTAACTCCTCCATTGGAGAAAAGCTTCAGTTAAGTGGTCATGGAAACAACCTTCTGTTATTCTGGAATTTATAACCAAATCATCAAGCAAAGCAGAGTTTATAAATTGTCCTCCAACCCTTTCTATTAACCTGTCATATTATTTTACCTAGATATTTAATATCAGTTATTTGATTCATATATTCCAACTTCTGCTTGAGAATAGTACTATCTGTATATCCATATTTATAACCTTAAAAACCTTAACACAAAAGGCAGGGTCAATCAAAGAAAATTATGAACTATTTTAGGGAGCAGTGGAGTGTAGACAAAGGAGAAACTTACTTACTTATTTTGCTCTCTGGACTTTTTTTTTTGTTGTTTAATACCACGGTCTTATGATATAGCCCTGGCTTATCTGGAACTCACTTTGAACCTCTCTGGATGTTTTATGTTTAATAACACATTCTTATGATGTGGCTCTGGCTTAACTGGAACTCATTGAAGAACAAGCTAGTCTCAAACTTACATAGATCCTTCTCCCTCTACTGCCTGTATGCCTATGGACCATCACACCTGGTCCTTTTCTTTCTGTCTGTTTTCTGGTACCAAGAGCAGGAAACCTGGAACATTCTAGACAAGAGTTTGAGTACTAAGCCATACTCCCGTTCTCTTTCTCTGATTTCTGAACTCCCTAGGACAGTTTCATTTGCTTTCCCTAACCTTCAGTCCTTAGTATTATAAATATCTTCTCACCAAAATAGGTAACACTAAAAAACACTGTCTTAAGAACAAGTATCAAGTCAGCCATAAATTTAAATGGCCATTTAAAGTATAAAATGCAATTGCCTTCTATAAATGACTAAAATCCTTCCAACTCCTTTTCCTTGAAGAACGAATTTTTAATCATTTCTTGGTAATCAAATTTCATTCATCTCTCTGCAACTCTGGCAAGCAAATAAGACTATAAAACATTCATATTGTTTTACTTTGCCTGTAATATAATTTTTGTGTAGCAAATCAATTAGTTCTGTTAATAAATACAAAAGCTAAAGTATAGAAAGAAAGCAAGAAAATGAACAGAAACTCCAAACTATGGCTTTAATAGTTATGCATTCACTAGGTATTTTACTAGGTGCCTACCTCATTCAAGCATAATATGTGTTTTCAGTGACACAATTCAGAATTATTCTTAAGTTTCTTCCTCCTGAGAGAATATTCTATATGAAGGATAACAGTAATCATTTAAAATAAAAGAGAAAGGATAGAAAGGGTAATGGCAAGGTTTCTGTGGCTGTACATCAGTTGTCTGATACCTCTCTAGTCCCCTTATCCAGCAAACCATTCCCATATTTGTTAGCTGGTCACCGGGAAAACCACAGGGGCATCCTGCTTACATTCCACCCCTTTTATGTTGCCCCTCCTCAGTGGGTCTTCCCGCTAAGATGTTGGCTACACCTGAAAGTTTCAATGGGTAAGTTCGTGAAGCATTTTAGTACCAAGCCTGAAACCATCTCCTAACCAGATGCTTAATCCTAGGAAGAATAAAAGGTGCTGGAAAAGAAGTCCTTTGTAAAACAGCACAACAAAGACTTCAGCATTCAGCTTTCAGCTTTCCACTATGTGCTTTGTATAATGTTTTAGTCAACATCTGCCAAATTTTGTCCTTATCCACCACAATAATTTTAGGAATCACTTTATAGCATGCATGTATAAAATGATAGTTTTTAAAAAGTCATGGTGAACCTCACAGTTCCTCCTGTGCCTTGAGACAGTTGATGAATGAAAACAAAAGAAAAGGGAGCAATGCAAATACACAGGCATTTGTAGGACTCTCCCACAGGAGGAAGTGGGTGGCAGTCAGTGTCCTTTTGCCACTGTAGAGCTACTTGCCTTGCAAGCTGTAGATTTCTCCAACGCTGTTCTGACGCGTAATGTGATGCCAGTATGCACTACGTGGAAGAGAGATGGATTTCGATAACGTCATTGGTTCAGTCAAGCTCGTCTGAAGCTAAAAGAGAAGGAAAATGTATCTTAGGCTTTCCTGGAGATATCAAGCTCAAATCAACCTTTTAAAATGCCAAGGATTAAATGTGAGTGACAGAAAGAAGAATGTGTGAAAGATATCCATGTAATTCCCCATTCAATGGTAACTGTGTCAGGAGTGAAATTGCCACTGATAGATTTCCCATGCTCCAGTGGATGGCCCCACAGATGCGCACATAGGGACAGCACTGACTGGACTTGGAGGGAGGGAGAGAGGGAGGGAGGCAGGGAGGCAGGGAGGCAGGGAGGCAGGGAGAGAACATTGGAAAGGGGCATGTTGGGGGGATACGGGGAAATTTGCAGGAGGAAAATAATGTAGATAAGATCATATTTCATTGTATAAATGTACGAAAATTATTAAAACCAAGGAAACAGCAAGGAAATATGTAAGGAAGAAAGGAAATAGCTCAATGGGTTAAAGAGCTTGCTGCACAAGAATGAAGCCTAGCACCTGTGTAAGAGTCGGATGGCCAGGTGAATTCCTGTAACCCCAGTGCCACAGGAGCGAACACTTGAACAGGATCGTGTGGGTTTATCTTCTCATCCAAGAGTGTACTGCAGGTTTGGTAAGAGGTCCTGTCTCAAGGGGATAAGTTGGAGTGCCATAAAACAGGTATCTGTTGGTCTTTTGGCTTCTATGTCCAGGTACTCACCCGGTCACACATGTGCACACACCACACACATACCACGTGATACTATAAATATTAAAACACACATCAAAAAGAAAAAATATATCTATATATATTCTTCTTAAGAATGGAATCTGACTGATTAAGAGGGGCACGAAGAATCTCAATGGCTTCTTGCCAATGGAGAAAGAACAATAGCAAGTACCCGGGGGATAATCAGTTGCAGGCCACCTTGTGAACTGGTTTGCATTTCAGTGGTTGAGAATTATTTACATTGCCCACAGTGTTTCCCAATGTATAGAATGGTGAAGTAATTCAAGAAACGAAGGAGCAGGCTGTCAGAGTGACATGTCCTAGAAAAGGTGCCAAACACAAGAGAGCCATTTTCAGAGTTTTCCTGACACCTCCTCCCACCTTTGTGCAGGGCTGCTTTCTTTAATGCATCATTTTCTTGCACATACTGAATGAATATTCTCTCTGAGAACCTTGGTGATAAGAGAGAGAGCTAAATGTGTTTGTATTTTGAATGTACTGTTTTGAGGTTTGCTGATTACATCATTCCCTGGGGCATATGATTAACAAACAAAAAAGGAATGGATTTGCAATTTTAAGAAAGAAATTTATGCTTATTTATTCATATTGTTTTAAAAATACAGAAATGGTTTTATTTGGTTTTTGTTACTTTAACATGACCTGAGCAATGTACAAACAGGCCTCTTTGCTAACTGCCATCCCAAAAGCTAAGAATTCCATCAGATAACTTCTGAGGCCTATAGCAGAGAGATCTCAGCTTCGCTGTGACTTTTCCACCACTACTGTATTTGGAAAATGCCTCAATTTATGATGTTCCTTGTTCTGTTGCCATAAAAATCTTCATGAAATGTTATCACATCAGAACATGGAATTTGGAGTAATCTGAATTTGCTATCTTATACAAGATCAACACACTCAGTTTCTTTGAAAGCCTGCCACCAGAGCAACTTTGCAGCTGATTCTTACATATCTCAGATGATATATTTCAAGCTCTCTTCCCTATTTACACAGTGTGCATGCTCCTCACACCCATGTTCCATGTACTTTGTTTGGTATGTGGAGGAATGTGGAGGGAAACAGGTTTTGTTTTCTGTGCTGAGATTAAGTAGCACTTTCCGTACCTGCAGCATCCTTGTTACCAATGTCCCAACCCTGTGCAGGGCTACCCATATTTAGATACCATCAAATATGCTCACAGAGGTAAACTTCATCTCCTACTATTGTATAGAAGTAGAGGCAGGTTTCATTTTATGGTGGTGTTATTGAGAGAGGAAGCCAACTTCTTGTATGAAACATGGAGTTTATTAAACACAAATCTTTATTTAATTCATGTCAGCAATGCCATTAATAACATCAGCTAAAGTGAATTCATACTAATCATAGTTCTGTTTGTTATCTCATTTTTACTACTTTCTAAACCTAATCTAATTTATTATTTTTCATAAAATAGAGAATTCTGAAATTCAATGAAAGTCATTTTCCTTCTGTAGTTTAATTTGGTAAACATTTTTTACACCGAATAGTCAGTCTTGAGTATCATAGAAACACAATAAGCATATGGTAACTGTTGAAAATAAATACCAGGAAGCCAGCAGAAAATCCCCCTTACACATCTGAGGCATCACACCTCTTGTTGCCATAGTTCTCCCTTTCCATGCTGCCAGTGTCTTTAGCTACACTCAATTCTTCATTACTGGGCCTTAACTTTAGTTACTTTCTATTTATTTGTAAAAAGAGAGACATCTGAATCTAAAAGTTGGTTATGGATTTTTCTTGACCTGTTTACCTATGTTTTCTTGCACATAGTAATTGTTTTCCTGGACACCAAAGTGTCACTCATTATTCATGCCTGTATAAAGTACTGTTATGGAGTGAATTGTGTTCTCACCAATTGCCTTGAAGTACAATATCCCAGTGTGATCATATATAGAGGCAGGTTCTGTGAGGAGGCTAATTAAGGTCAAGAGAAGACCACAGGGCACAACCCTAGTCCAAGAGGATAGTGACCTAATAAAAAGAGGAAGAGACTCCAGGGTATAATAGTCATAGGAAAAGGCCATGGAATGACACAACTAGAAAATGGACATTTACAAGGTAAGCATTGAGACATCAGAAAAAACTAAACCTGTTCAATGTTGATTTTGAACTTTCAGACTACAGAACTGTGAAAAAGCAAATGTATGTTGGTTAAGCCACCCACTCTACAGTATCACTTACAGCCATTCCAGACTAATATAGAAGACTTTAAGTAACCTAACAAGGAAGATGTACATTCTCAAATATGATCTATCCAGTAATTTTTAATTGCCTTATTACCTTTAAACAATGTATTGAAAATTAGCCTATGGAGAGCCATAGTAGAGAAAATTATATTTATAATAGAAAGAGATATACACATTTGCATATATATGTACAAGAAAAATTATGAGACCATTTGTAAAAAGTCTCAATTGGGGTTTCTACTGCTCTGATAAAGCACTGTGACCAAAAGCAACTCAGGGAGGAAAGGTTTTATTACATTTTAAAACTCTTCATCACTGAGGTAAGTTAGGGTAGGAACTCAAGGCAGGAACCAGAAGGCAGAAACTGAAGCAGAAGCCGTGGAGCAACACTGCTTACTGATGTGCTGTGCTGTATATGGCTTTATCAGCCTGCTTTTGTATACAGTTTAGGACCACCTGCCTAGGGGTGTTGTCACCCTCAGCGGCCTAGGCTGTCTCACATCCATCATTTATCAAGAAAATACCATATAAACTTGGCTGTGGGCAATCTGACAATGACATTTTCTCTATTGAGGTGTTTGTTTGTTTGCTTGCTAGGTAATGCTAGCTTGTGTCAAGTTGAGAAAAACAGCACACCATTTCTGTCTTATTATTATGTTTTAATAAATGAAACTGGATTGATTTCATGTTTCCTAGTTTTTCTTTTGGGGAAATCTGCTACACTGTGTGTGTGTGTGTGTGTGTGTGTGTGTGTGTGTGTGTGTGTGTGTGTGTTTTATCTAGTGAGAAATTATTTAAGAAACTACAATAAATTCTGGACCTTTGTGCCAGCTTCACTGAGTATTTAGCTACTAACTCTCCTGCAGGCAGCATCCACCGGCTTCTTGTTTTGCATAGGCAGGGTTAAGATGCAGAAAGGATGCTTCAGCAGAGATGCAGAAATCAATCCTATGAAACACTTGCCAGTGTTTTCTGCCACCTCCTTTTCGTTGTAACCATTTGAAACAACATTTAGTTCTCTGGGAGGCTGAGCAATGAACCAGAAAATGCTTATTTAGTGTCTGAAAAGAGTGCAGGTCACAGCTCAACCAAGTGTGAAGAGTAGTAGAGATGTCTGTGTTCTACCTGAGAGCACAGCCCATAAAAGCAAAGCCAAAGGACATGACTTCAGCCCAAAGTGCTCCGTACACAAATGAAGCTGATGCCTATATGAGCAAGCTGCTTTAGTTCTTTTTTTGGGCAATCAATTAAAAATGTTATTTATTTGTATATATGTGAGATCTATAGGTAGGTAATATAACAACAGATCCTAGTACCATTTGCAAAAACAGAGCAAGCAAAGGAACAACATTGGAGGTGAAGACACATGTTTGGTCTAAGCCAAGGTGATCTATAGAAGAATAAAAACCTAAGGAAAAAATAAATAGAAGGGACATTTGATCAATGTGGGCAGGTGAGGAAATGTAGGACAGAGATGAGCAGTGCTAAGAAGGATGTGTGTATTCATGAGCATGCCTGCATGTACATGTGAGTGTCTGTGTGTACACATGAATGATTCAAACTAGAAAAGGATAGTATCTTTCTTTTCCTGTTGATATGATGACATACTCTGACAAACGCAGCTTACGGGAGAAAAGATTGGCTTATACTTCCAGGATACAAACACCAAGGTGAGAAAGTCCAGGCAGCATGAGCACAGCTGCCATATCACAACCACAGCAGGAGGAGCGAGCAGTGAACGCGAGGCTGTTCTTAGCCTGCTTCCTTTATTTATACAGTCCAGGATCCCAGTCAGGGAATGGTGCCACCACCAGTGGGTGGCTCTTACTCCTTGAATTGTAAATCAGGAAAATCTCCCACAGACTTATCTCTCAGGTGATTTTAGATCTGTCTAGTTAAAAATTAACACTAACCATCACACCTCTGTGATGAGTTAAATGCTTCATGGGTTATAAGTTAATACATTCTTTGATATGTCTGAAACAGGAGAGAATGGATAAGAACAAATGCTGTAAAAATATAACTATTACAAAGACACCAATAACAACAACAACAACAAAAACCACACTAATATAACATGT